GGGAGACCGCGGACAAACCCTCTCAAGTCAGCCAGCTTTGTGTGGAGTGTAAAGGAGGTTGGCCCCTGCCATAAATTTCTGTCTGTGGCCACACAGCAAAGGAGAAAGGAATGAGGACTGGGGTGGGATGGGGGTGGGGTGAGGGGGTGGGGGAGGGAGACAGGGAGGGAATGGCCCAAGCAAAGTGCGAAACCATAACATTTTTCCTGATTAAGTTCAGGCTAGGAGAGTAACACTCCAAATGCCGCTAATGTCACCAGCTCAGGGACTGAGGGAAAGACTTGATTTTTCTTACATGGTTTCAGCTTTGGTGTGTATGCAAACTCTAAGTGTGGTGCGCATTTTAAACATGGACACTTTTTATGGGAAAGATTTGTTCTAAGGTTAAAAAAAAAATCACAGAAACAATGAACAAATTGCAAGAAAACGTAACTGAAAAGACAAACTCAGGGGCCTTTAGCTGTTTTTTTTTTATGGAAGAATGGACTCTCGCAATTCATCACTTATTAAAACACGACTGTTCAGTTTCAGCAAATCTTCAAATTGAAGCTAAACTATACTGGGACAAAAAAGAAAAAGTCCAGAATTTACTCAGGCTGTGTTTAACAAGCCGAGACATTAAAAGCAGGGCGAGCAGGGGAGAGGCCAGCCCATGGGGCACTCTAGTTCTCTATATTTACAGAGCAGAGTGGGCCAGCAATTGTGCACTTGGGGTGGGCACAATGGGAAAGTGTCCTAAAAGTCTTAGGAGGTGTGGTTGCTTAATTTATAGCTTTCTGGGGAGGCTAAAGAAAATGATGCTCAGAGTTCAAAAAGCTCCCAGATTAAGTACACCAGGAAGTAAAGGAGGCCCAGTGGACTGATTCTGAGGGCAGCCACCAAGTGACCCCGTGGGCCAGCCACTGACTTCTTCCATTCCCTGTGCCCATTTCCACAGTCATCAATCTGTCCTGAAGGGCAGGGGGAAGGAATGGCTCCAATGGCCATTTAGGAGCAGGTTGTCTCCTGACTCATGCCCACTCCCAGACACAGTGAGACTTGAGCTTTGGAAACCACCTATTGTTCCACTGCTGGACACTGATTCCTTTGCAGGGGTCTGTGATTCTCCTCCTCCCTCCGACTCTGTCCTGGTGTCTGCTCCTCACCTTGTGCTTTGGGAGCAGAAATTCTGGTATAACCTCCTGAATCTGTACTGGCTGGATGCTGTGCTGGGCCCTACCAGGAGGTTTCATTGGATCGATGGGTGCAGATTACTGATTGGGGCCCAGGAACCCAAATTTCCACCAAGTCCCCATGTGTTGCAAGTGCTGACACTGCTGCAGGAAAGTTTCAGTGCAAGGGCTGCTGCTTCAGAGGTGCACTGCCCTGGGAGTCCTGACCACAGGTAGCTATGCAGTTTGAAATTAACCAAAAACCAAGAAAACTGCACACTCAGTACTTCTGTCTCATGTGTCACATTTCAAGGGCTCAAAGATGTGCACCCCCAATGGCACAGGGAGCTCAGATGATGGCAGATGGTGAGTCACAAGATCACCTTCTCTACATCCATCCCCTGGGCAAATGTGTCTTCTGCACCCTAAACTCCTTGTGTGTAAAAGGAGGGTGGCAGAAAGTTTATCTGCAGTTTGCTTGTGTCTGGAGACTTTGCCTGAGACTGAGATTCAGGCCAGTAGACTAATTAATCTGGTAGAAATAATTTCAAGGTAGTCGAATACTGAGGTAGTGGCATGGCTACTGTTGGGGGCTCTTAGCCAGGTTCATGTTGATAATCAAGAGCAAAGAGGCCAGCAGGATGATTTAAAATGTTGTGAGTTTGGCCAGAAAGGAAGCTCCAGTAAAGCTGTGGACTGCAAAGATAGAGCAGAGGAGCTCTTGATTGCTGAGAAGGAACAAGAGAATATAAAAGATGATCTGAGGTCATCACAAGCAACAGCAAGTCTCCACCCTTTGCAGCCTCAAAACTGCAAATAAAAGACCTTGCCTTGAAGAGAAAGCTGCAGAGCAACATGTTCCAGAATGGTGGCAGCCACACCAGCTTCCAGGATGGTGGCAGCATAGAGAATTTGTTCCTCAGAATTGGATTCGCAGTGCCCGGTGATATAGGCACTCGACCCCTACAGCCAGGAGAAAGGAAAGCCTGGCTACTGCTCCAGCTGGCTGCAGACCTTGGCATTATCCACGTGGCACTGGTTTCAGGTACATGCAGAATGCAAAAGTTGTGGGGTTAAGAAGGCTTCCCCCTTGATTTCAGAAGGCTTAGGAGGCCAGGCAATGTGCCTCTGAGAGGGCAGCATGTGAAGCTGTGAGGGTGAAGCCAAAGGTGCAGTGGAGAACCCAGAAGTTTGGAAAAGCCAGGAATGTGGATCATCCAAGGAAAGTTGCAAGGAGGGAGGAAAGTAGCCTAACAGAACTCATGGGAGCTACAACCACCAGCAGTGTCTTAGGGGTGGAGCCATGCAAGCCTTTTGGAGCTCACAATTTGCCACAGATTGTTTCAAATGCTGGACATGGAACTATAGGACCTAACATTTATCCTGCTGGATTTTGTACTTACTTTGGTCCCAATGGTTGTATCCACTTGTTATGGTTTGTGTCTAAATGTCCCCCAAAGCCTCATGCTGTCATAGAGAGGGCTTCTAGAGTTTTTGATTGATTCATGATCCAATGCTGGGATTATGGGTGTGAGTGCTACACCTGCCCTGGGGTGGATAGTCTGCATACAATATAAGGGAGGGAGAGAGGCTTGTTTTCTGCTCCTCTCTTTTTCTTTTGTTGCTTTTGCTGTCTTCCATTGCCACCTCTGCTATGTGCCACTCTGCCTTGGAGCCAGCCAAATATGGACTGAAACTTCCACAAACTGTAAGCTAAATAAATCTTCCTTCCTTAATTTTGGGCTCAGGTATTTTTTTCTCAGCAAGGAGAGAAAAGTAACTAAGACACCCCTTCTTGTAACTTTTGGAATGAAAATGTCAATCTTGTGCCACTGAATATTGAAAGTGTTTAACTTTCTTTTCATCTCTACAGGGCTTGCAGCTAAGAGTTTGCATTACATCTTGGAGGAGACTTGGGACTTGGACTTTTCAGCAATGCTGAAACTGTTAGGACTTTGGCAACTCTTGCAGATGGACTAAATGCCTTTTGCATAGAGGGAGGTACATGTATCTTGGTGGAGAGTGTTATGGTTCTAATGCAATATAATGTTGATAAACTTAATACTACTTCTAAGGATTGTTAAACCTGTGTTATAATGTTCAAGTTGTGAAATGATAAGAATAAGCATGTCTTTGTATCTGGAAACTGGTTTAAAGAAATGTGTCTGGTTGCCAAGTTGACAAGGGGTGATTGCTATGGTTGATATATTGTGTCAACTTGAAAATTCTAGAAGCTTAACTAAGTAACTCAGCAGGAGGCCAAGGTCCTCATTTTATAAACATCCTCATCCTGTACAAGAGGAGGGCATGGAGAAGGTGTGAGGGCTACACCTGTGTGTGCGGGGAGTAGCCTACTTATAATATAAGGAAGGAAAAGAGGCTTGTTCCCTCCTTTTGCTCTTGTTGCTTTGCTGTCTTCTAACACTTTGAATTTTTGCCCCTGTGTCATGCCACCCTGCCTTAGAGCCAGCTGATTATGGATTGAAACCTCTGCAAACTGTGAGCTAAAAAACCTTTCCCTCTTTAATTTAGGTGTCCCAGGGATTTTGTCTCAGCAACAACAGAAAAGCAACCAAGACAAAGTGTGACAATGGTAATCACCACAGGGCTATTTGGATAATTAAATGACATAATGCAAATGCAAACACTTTGTAAACTCAGTGGTGATATACAAATTATAGTTATTATTTCATTCTATTTCTCTTTTTGTGTTTTGCTTTTCTTTGGGTTTTTATTGTTGGCTTTGTTTGTTTGTTTATTTCTTTAGACTGGGTCAGATTGAGGCTTTGAGCTCACAATCCTCCTGCATCAGCCCCCCAAGTGCTGGGTTACACTCTGTCTCTCCACTAATACCAACCACTTTCAGACCTCTGGCTCAGCACTGCATTCTTCCCAAGTATTCATTTCCTTTTGCCTATAGTCCCCAGTCCTCTTTCATTTATTTTTTTCGGGGGATGAGAGAGATGGAGATTTCACTATTGCTATTAAGTCCCTACTTGCACACTGTTGTGTGCCTAAAGACTAAAGAGTCTTTCCTAGATTTTTGCTTCAACAGACAAAGACTGTGTCTGGATGATTCCCAAACATAAGTCCATGTAAACCAATAAAGCAAACATTTTAGGATACTGTCATTGTTTTAATGCCTCACGTCCTGACAAACACATTTTTATATTAAAAAATACACATAAGCTGCTGAGAGAATATGGGTAAGGAGCAACGCCATCCAAAAGGACTCCCTGTGACACCCCCAGAACCTGAGCCCCAGCCCCACTCTGGTTCCTCTGCTAGATTTTTAAGGCTCTCACCTGCGAGAGTGATGCATCAGTTAAATTAACTTTTGCTGAATGAGGAATCAGCCAGCCAAAGACTTGGACTTGATGCTTCCTGAACAGCCTACAAAGTGTTGAGGGAGGAAACAGGATCCCGGGTGGGACCCAGGGAGGGGCACACCAGACCTCAGTAGTTTAGACAACAAGTTGCTTTGATAAGACAGTGGTGAGTTGATTCTTTTAAGATACCCAACTTCTCGAAAGTGGCATTTCAAAATACAAATGTTACAAGGCATGGTGGAGCCAAAATGACTCCTTTGGCCCACTGAGGATACATCCATATTTTGGGGAGATGGGTTCATGCTGGACCCACTGGGCACCCCTCTGTACTTTCCCCCGACTCGGGTTTCCAACACCAGCTCATACAGGACAATAATTTCCCACATCAGTCAGCATGGTAGTGCTGCCCATGAACAATAGGGACTGTCTTGTGGTTCAAAGAAATTTAATCTCTGAGACCACTTAGGGCTAAACCCCTCCCATGGGGATGTTGAGGGACAGGTGGTGTGGCTCTTCCTACCAGCAACTGGTGCAGTGCAGCGCCAATCACATCCTGCAGGTTTGTTTTGTCCTCTGGGCTCAGGGCTTGTTTGTACTGCCACTTTTCAGGCACGAAGGGCCACTTCATTTCCTTTGCCTCCTGGATCAGGGTCCTTAACTCTCTGGAGAGGGAAGCTGAAAAGGTCAGAGTTCAGGTAAGGAAATTGCAGTCAAAGAAAAGGCGGCTGAGCCCCTCACATTATGATGAAGGGCCTCCACAGCAAAATAGCATGTCCCCACCTTGGGCTGGCTGCCCTGAACTGTTGGCTGTGACCCAAAGAATAATAGCAAAGGGCTATCTGTCAAGGGTGGCCTTGGTCTGCTCTGCCCTACAGGTAAATTGGGGTAGTCAGGCATTGAGAAAGGTTTTTAGCAGGAAGGAAGGTGCTTCGGTGACTATCCCTGCATGAAGAATCAGAGACAGGAATGAAGGAAATATTATTTTCCCTGTAAAATGAGAAAGGCCCTGGAAAGGAAGGGCATGCTGCACTGGTAGCAGCTGGCTTGTGTCAAGAGTCAATTTGTCCAACCCAGTTTTTGCTTCTCTTGGTCCTCATCCCATCCTTTCACCGTGGACAGCACTTGGATACAGACAACAAATACAAAGAAAAACGGGAGCTGTGCGAGGGCACTATTCTCTGGGAGATGGCCCCATTTCACAGCTGTAACTGTGTTAAATCACTCAGTGGGCACCAAACCTACTTAGGCCAGTTCCACAGTCTCCGATCCGAACTTCAGAAAACCTCTAAGCTTTGGGGACTGGAATTTTTTTCTTACATTTGACACCCAAGTCAGACTCGAATTGATGAGGGCTATCCTAATCCTGATGATCCTATTCAGTGAAATTATTGAAAAATTTTGTAAAAAAATTTTAAGGTTTGCTTTAGGTGCTGCCATATGGGTGTAATGTTCAGTACATGCTCCATAACATCCTTCCAGCACTGGGCAAATCTGAAGGCTGAAGGATATCTGACCCTTAGTTTTCTGAATAAGGGACTGCAGCCATGGATACATAATCACCAGCTATAAATTTCTGAACATGTCTATGATTGAACTCATTGGCTGTTTTCCAAATCTACTTCCCTTCTCTATTATGTACTTTGATGAATGGAAGCAAAATTCACTGCATCAACTAGGTCTGAAACCCCAGAGCTGATCTGGATATTTCTCTCTCACTCTTTTCTTGAGTGTATCTGGCTATCAAACCCTGTGGTTCCTAAAATTCATTTCCTCCTCTATGTTTCCAGTATTTTTTTCCTGAATTACTGCTTCCATCTACTCCTTCTTTGATATTGTCGATCTTTTTTCCCTAAAAACAAGATAGACCTGGCCATTGCCCTGCATAAAGTGCTTTCATTCTTCAGTTTTGCACATCCTGTTCTGAATGATTGTATTGCCCCTACAGGACCCACCACCAGCAGTGTCTAGCCCAAATGCTGCCACTTCTTTTCATGAGCCCTCAGGGGGATACTCCTTTCAGCCTTCATCCCACTCTTGCATAACTACATGTCCATCTCACTGGCCTGAAAGTGTCCTGAAGGTGAGTACCATGTCTCATGTCTCACCTCTTTTGTAAATGACACCACAACAGGTGAAAGACATGGTCAGTCTTAGCATCTATGTAAGATATGCTAAATAGAGCAAAAAAGATATGATGCAGAGAACCAAAAATAAAAGAAGAGAAGAAAGAAAAATCTAACTCTGTTTTGGTCCTCTATGACTTCATGTGAACTTGGCATTGAGGGAAGGCTGTGGTATAGCTTATGGGCCATGCCAATGAATGATCCCATTGATTATTGGGGATGATTTATAAGCAGCATGCTGAAATTGTCACCCCATTCGGCAGCTGAGAATATCTGCAATGGGATGCCTCAGAGAGAGCCAAGCCCAGAGGTTAAGGACTGACATGGTTGCTTTCTGCCAGAACACTCAGCTTTCTTACTGCTGCTGACAGCATGTCACCTTCTGGATATATCCAGGATACAGAGAAAATTCCTTCCAGGGCACTTCTAAAGAGTTAGGAGCAGGACACCCATTTGCTTGGGGTGGACCTGCATGACCCAGTGCACTTATCCCCAGTGCCCCCTTTCAGCCTCCAAAGAGTCCTGCTTTGGTAAACTATTCGGACGCTGGCTATGCATGAATATGAGTAACGACCAGACCACAGAAAAGAGATTTCTGGGGTCACAGAACTGCATTGCAGTTTGGATGGAGTAGTTTGATCTTCTCAAGTTTCTTCATGATAATGGAGAAAGCTTATTCTTCACAACTCACATTTGCCTCTTTTACACCACCTACCAAGTCCTACTGGACCATGACCAGCATCTGAGACCTCAGGGCAGCACGCACATGAGCCTGGCAATTCACTCCTGCACTGGGGTTTCCCGGTGCTACAGAAAGGAAGCTTGCAGATGTGGGCGGGGAATTGACTGGATATGAGTGATTTCATTTTGAAAGGACCAAAAAGGAAAAGGTTACAAATAATTAAGACTTCCACCAGCACTAAAAGTGTCTTAAAAATGTGTGTGCCTGTAAAAATGTGTGTGCCTGTAGATGAGAAGGAGGGACAAAGCCCTTCTCAGAACTTTTCCCTGTGGCATAATGAACAGAAGAGACAAGACGCTGGCAATTTATGGAGGGATCTTATTTTTGCATCAAATGGCAGAGCACTACAAATATGAAGAGAGATATGAAAGACACATAAAAGAGATATACTTAGAGAAATAGAGGGACAGTATATTTCAGGATATATATAGTGTTGCCTCTCCAAAACCAGTTAAAGAAGAAATAAGAACTGTTGCTAACTTTCATACTTTGTGATTGAAACCTCCCCATCCATGATTAGCCTACAACTAAGTATGCCGCGCACTGTGAAAGGAGTGGAGCCAGAGTCCTAAATGCTGGTCACTGCGCTGTCAGACTTATGGGATGAGTGCCTTTATTTTAGGAGTAGCACGAGGACTCATGGATGCTGCAGAAGACAGCGACTGCACCAGCGAGATGACATAGTTATGGAACGCGTAGAAGTCTATGGAAATTGATGAGGCACAAAATCCCCACTTGGAAAAAAGTATGCACCACCATTGAGAAGTTGCTTCCATTTTTTAATAATTGAAATTTATGTGCAGCAGCCAACTCAGACTCTTTGTTCCTGTTGAGCTAAACTGTTTCTTGTAGCCTCATGTTTATTGAAGCCTAAAATTAGAACTGACAGCAATTCACTGCAACAAAGTGAGCTTCCACCCCTGTCTGTCCGCCTGCAGCCCAGGTCCCATTCATGCTCTAGAAATCTTCCCATCTCTCGGTGGTCATCTGCCAGGAGAAGAAAAATAGGGCAGAGATGAGAACGTGTCACCCAGGCGGGGGACAGGGCAGCAGGCCTGCTGGCTGACCCTGCTGAGAGCATCCCATCCTCACCTCGGCACCTCTGGTCCTCCCTCTTGTCTTCCTCGGACACATCTGGCGCCGCCACCAAGAGCTGGTCCAGCGCTTGCTCACACTCTTGCAGGAGCACAGCGATAGCTTTTTGATTATTCATGATGATTATCCTCCCTTGACGATGAATTGAGGGTCCCCAGGACTGCAGTGATCAATTACCTACGAGAAGACATCGATCCCGAATAAAGGAGCCCCTTGAAGGCCGAGCTACCTGGTGAACAAAAGAGGGAGAAAGATGATTAACTGAAGCGTCATCAATTATCTGTAAGGCTCAAGCAGGGAGGGATAATAGGGGGAACACATGAAAATACATCACAGCCTGAGGACGTTATTAGGGGAGGGTGTGAAATGAGTCCAGGGCCTGGTTTCGCCGGGCTGGACCTCGCAGGCATCACGTGCAGAAGGGATGGGCCCCGGTGCAGGCCCTGTCACCCACAGTGAGGTTGGGAGCCCAATGAAATGAAGCTGCCTGATGATTTATGTACTTTCTGCATCCTTCTCCTAGGCGCCTCCAGATCCCAGCGGCCCCACACTTTCTGCCTTTCTGGAAGTCTACAGGAAGCATCTGGCTAACAGTTCTAATGTTCATTCATAGGCCTGTGCTAAGGCAAAGTGTCCCAAGCACTCCCATAACCCACTGCTGATTCCCCCATGCAGAATTCTTCATGGTATTTTGCATGATGTAATTTGGACCCAGAATGGCAGTGACAGATGCCAAATTTAGACCTTCATGGTCAGGCACATTGCCACGTAAACTAGAGAAATGATATCACAGAAAACCCAATTTCCTACATCTATCATATGAGTGGATCTATCATACAGATGGATGGATCTGCTTAGGGTGGTATTTAACATGTAAACAGTTGACAGATTCTCTCTCTCTCTCTCTTTCTCTCTGGTACTGGCGATTGAACCCAGAGCCTTAACACTAAGCTACATCCCCAGATCTTTTTAAATTTTTATTTTGAGACAGGTTCTTGTAAGTTACCCTGACTGAGCTTGATCTTGCAATTCTTCCACCTCTGCCTTCCAATGTGCTGGGATTACAAGTGCCTGCCTCCATACCTATCTGAGAGATTTCTTATGTAAATATGAATCCTGTACAAATTGAGTTGTTGGGTTAAATGTTTTCCAGTGTCCTTTTGCGCTCAAGTGTATACAAGAAAAAGTGTTTTGTGTTGTAAGCTGGCTGCTAGCCTGACTTGCTATGAAAATAACTAAACACTATGGGCTGGTCAGAATTTCATGTTCATATATCTGTTGCAAAGACTACAGGAGAGCATGCCCATCCCTCTGAACACGCCAGTGAGCGGAGAAGACAGCTAAGCAGTGAGCCAGGGTGCAAGAGAGGCCGCTGAGCAGTGATAACACATTCTCACCATTCCTTGATAGAGGGAGAGATTGGTTAAAGTAGGAGGTAAATACAAAGGTCAAGAAATGCTTTTGATGGTTGAGAAGGTAAAGATCAAGTTGCTTGATGTGAGCTATTTGCAAGTTGGGTGCTCATTTTTCTCAAGTTTTAAATCAAAGCAAAGAAAATTCTCTTCCCAAAAGCCTTTTCAAATGACTTCATATAGAAAGAGGGATATAACATGAAAATAATGAAGAGCTAGCTCATGCACAAAGAAACAAAGCTGCTTTATCATTGCATTTTAATAGCACATCCTCCCTTTGTCTACAGATTTACAGTAATGTTTTATTGGTGCTGCATTAAGGTGGAAAGCAGTTTTTGTCAAGTTTATAGAAGCAAAGAGCAGAAGGGCAGAGACCTGAGGCCGAAGAGGAGAGGCAAGGGAGGCGTTAGTCAAAGGATGCAAACCTAGACAGGATGAGTGAGTTGAAGAGAGCTGTTTACAGCATGGTGATGACAGTTAACGACTACGTATCACATACTTGAAAATTGCTAAGAGTGGCTATTTAGTGTTCTCACCCTGAAAATAAGTATGTGAGGCAATACTTTTGCCAATTAATTGGAGTTAGCCATTTGACAACATGTGTCTGTATAAAAATATCACCTTGCACACCATAAATATACGACTGAAATTTGTGAATAAAAGTAAAATCAGACCAAAAAGTAATCTTCCTTATGTGACAAATTAAATTTTAACTGCTTTGTTTGTGTAAAGGATTTAAAAAGCGACAGCACATAGTAACAAAAAGACCTATGAAGAGGAAGCTAATGCATGTGATAGTGTGCAATAAATATCGCTTGACCAATTCTATTTGCTATTCTTTAGTTAGCTATTTGTGAGCCCCTAAGAGTCAATCCTTTTTTTTTTATTTTAAAGAGAATAAGAAATAATTTAAAAATTAGAAATGATACAGAATTTCAAAAAAACAAGAGGGTAGGAATCCAACAACGGTTGGATTACATACATAGTGTTGTCTTCCAAGTAGTTGTTCAGATCACCAGATATAAGCATGGAGAACTGGTCAAAAAAATAAAAAAAATTAAGAGTTAATTCTGAGATTTGCTATTTTTCCCCGTGTTTCTTGGCTGGGGAAGGAGTAATTGCAACAATCATATAGATGCTTCTGTCTCTTAAATTATAGGCTCAGTCTCAGTCTAGGTAGATCAGGTTATGTTTGTGGAAGAATTTCTGACATTTATTCAAAACTCCTAGCTCTTTTGAGAACTCTTTGTTTGTTTGTTTGTTTGTTTGTTTTGAGAACTCTTAAGTATAATATCTGTATGTGTATTTTTCTTTGGCTTAGAAATATTGGCTTGAATTTTAAGAAGTTGATTATTAAACAAAAATGTTTTTCTGCTTGTGTTTTCTCACTTAAACCCCTTATTTCTGATGCACAGATCATAAACCTCTGTTTTTTGTCGAGGGGCTGTGAAGGAGTGACACTGTGCAGTTCTGAGAGGCCAAAAAAGAGGACTTGACCTGTGCATTTTGGCTGAAGGTGGGGCAGTCCAAGGAGGCTCCCTGAGGGTGTGACGCAGGCAAAGCTCGGAGAGAGGAAGAGGGTTAGTGAGTTAGAGCAGTGGGGAAAGGCACTCAAAGCAGGAAACCTGGAGGGAATGGAAGAAGGGAGGCTGGCCAAAGTAGCAATGCCAGGAGAAGGCTGATAGCAGGTGAAGCTAGAAGGGAAGCAAGGGGTCAGGCAGGGTTACAGGTGCCAAGGAAGGAGTTTGTCCTGGCTCTAAAGTAATAGGAAACTATGGGTGGCAGAAAGACTGGCAGATTTGCATTGGAAAGAGCACTTTGGTGTGGATGGAATGCAGAGGTAACTGCAGCCAGCCCTGTTAGGTACTGACTGAGTAACTGAGGCAAAAGCTGGACCACAGCAACAGCATCAGCAATGCACAGAGCTAGACAGATTCGACAGCTGTTTAGGAAGCAGAGTGTCGGCGCTTCCAACACTGCCGATGTTGGGTGGATGTAAGCAGTGTCGAGAATGGGTCCCACGTTTCTGCCTCGGCAAAGCTCAACACTGAAATGACGGTGTTGCCAGACTTAGAGACAGTGGACATCTGGGATTCTTCTAGTAAAAGACATAAACACACCCCCTTATCTTATTTTGTATTTCTAGCTATAAAGAGAGTAAGAAGGATAAGTCATATTATCCACAGAAAGCAGTCATATTTTAACCAAGAAAACATGTCTAAAAAAGGAAGATTTCCAAGATAATTTGTGTTTAGTACTTGTGACTCCTCAAAATGTGGTGACGATCCTTTTGCTACCTTTTGAAAGTTATAGCATTTCCCCTTTTTGCTGTAAAATTCAAGGGAGACAATAGGAAGAAAATACTGTAACATGAGAAACACTTTAGAATCCAGCCATCTGTCCAGCCTTCCCTGGGTCATTGTTAGGCATAACAGGCTGGAGCCCAGGAAACTTCCCTCCAGGCAAAAGTCCTGCCAGTAATTTTGATCAACTTCATTTATAAAAGAATCATTTTCAATTTCACTGTTTGCTCCTCTTAACTATAGCATTCTGTGAGCAGGTCATTGTTTCTGACATTGAATAAGTAAAACCAGATAAAAAAAAGTAACTGACACATTATACTGACAAATTAAATTGTAACTGCTTTGTTTCTGTAAAGCATTTAAGAAGGGCCAGTGCATGGTAACAAAAAGACCTATGAACAGGAAGCGAATGCATGTAATAGTGTGCAACAAATACCTCTTGACCAATTCCACTTCCTGCTCTTTAGTTAACTATCTGTGAGCCCCCGAGAGTCAACTTGGAGATTCATTCTTCTTACTTGTGTTCCTCGGATGGGGAGGAGTAATTGCAACAGTTGTGTAGATGCTTCTGTCTCTTAAGTATTTTTGTAACCTATGCTTTATTTTTTCTATTTTAATAGCTCATATTTTTTCCTTAAAAATCCAAAAGAAATGGACTATAGAAAGCAACCAAACAGGTAGACTGCTGGACTTTTAAGTATTTTCTGTTTTTAAGTATTCTGTCTTGTATTTTTGTAACCTATGTTTTTTTTTTTTTTTTCTATTTTAATATCTCATTTTTTTTCTTAAAAATCCAATAGAAAGGGATTAGGGAAAGCAATCAGACAAGTAGATTGCTGGATGTGGTGACACGTGACTGTAATCCCAGCCCTTTGGAAGGCTAAGGTAGGAGGATCACAGGGCTGAACCCAACCTGGGCAACTTAGCAACTTAGCAAGAGTGTGTTTCAAAATAAAATATAGGAAAAGGGCTCAGAATGTAGCTCAATAGCACAATAAAAAAAAAAAAAAGCCGATAACTCTAAAATAACATTAGATACCTCCAGATTAGAATCATACACTCTAAGGCACACATGCATGTGGATAGCCAAATGGTTGTGTGTTCTCATATTCTGTGTTTGATTTTGACATATTTCAATGCCGTCGTGAGTTCAATTTGACATATTCAATTCCATTGTGAGTTAGAGCTCAGCTGAGTAGCTGAGTTAGAGTTGACAAATCAGCAAGCATTAAAGAGAAATGAGTCAGTAGACTTTTCAAACCCCCATTTCTTTGGGTATTTGTGTTTAGTCTTTTGCACTGGACAGTAAGTATCTCTGTTAGGTGGTAGATCAGTGAAAATAAAAAGACCCAGAAAGAATTTCATGGCCTGCTGGCTGCTACTCTGTAATAACCCACTAGCCAGCTAGTGAGAATTCCTGAGGTAGAAGACACTGGAAAGCATAAAGTAGTACACAACATGTTCTGTGTTGTCAGGGAGTTCATAATTTGAGGGTATGTTAGTTCATCATAACT